ACATTATCGACACTGCTCGAGTTCGTCATCGACTCCAGCATCCCCTTAAGCTTCCAAATGAAGGTGCGAAGATGCTTCCAGACGCGAAGGTAGAGCAATGTTCTTCAAAATTTTTCTGCTTAGAGCATTCGCACTTTCGGTATGTACAAGCTACGGGAACTTTTGGATCAGGCAAATATTACGCTGACAGCTTAAGATTTTACATTAAAAATTTTTTCTTCGCTCTTATCACATATCGAGCAATGCTCCTATTTATCTTTGCACGTACTTTCATTGCGTGAAAGCATTTGTAATTCTGTGTAACCATTCTTGCAAAATACATTAAAATAAAAAAAATATATGTATATAATATATATATATATATATATATATATATATATATATATAAAATAAAAAAAAATATATATATAATATATACATATTTCATGGAACATTCTGGTAACTTTTTTAAAATGAAATATTGTCAAAAACACTCTAAATAGCACATTTATAAGGTTTCAACTGTCCGATCCTAAGTGGTCCCTATTAGTACCAGTAATATTTAAAGCGTTAAAGCAAATGCAAGAAATGCAAGAACATTTCACAGATTTATTTAATCGATCGTAAGTGTTACTTTATGGATAATACGAACTTTGCGGAAAAATGTCAGTGTTCTGTTGGTAAAGTTTTCAGCTTCAGCATCCCTTTAATCCGGAGACGCGCGTTTAACAAAGCCCATGTTGCATTTCTTTTTTGCTTTAACCCTTTAAATATTACTGGTACCAATAGGGACCACTTAGGATCGGACAGTTGAAACCTTATAAATGTGCTATTTAGAGTGTTTTTGACAATATTTCATTTTAAAAAGTTACCAGAATGTTCCATGAAATATGTATATATTATATTTTTTTTTATTTTATATATATATATTATATACATATATTTTTTTTATTTTAATGTATTTCGCAAGAATTTTTAACATGCATTTTCTTCTAACGTCATTAAAAAGAGAGACAATTCGAGGGCCTTTAAGGGGATGCTGAAGCTGAAAACTTTATCGACAGAACACTGACATTTTTCTGCAAAGTTTACATCGCATTGGTTACACAGAATTACACTACGGATTGGAAATGGAAGATTGCGGATTGAAGATTAGATTTTGACGAATCAATGCACTTTGATCTTGACCTACTTGGCTCCAATTGGTCAAGTTCCAATCTTCGCAATCCGTAATGTGACACGGGCTTAACAGAGAAAATCTTGTTTTCCAGGCATCGACGATCGATGGACGTCGCAAAGGCGCCTGCCTGTTCTGCCAGGAGTACTTCATGGACCTGTATCTCTTGGCGGAGCTGAAGACGATCTCGCTGAAAGTAACCACAGTGGACATGCAGAAGCCGCCGCCCGACTTTCGCACCAACTTCCAAGCCACGCCGCCGCCGATCCTGATCGACAACGGCGACGCGATACTGGAGAACGAAAAGATCGAGCGGCACATCATGAAGAACATCCCCGGCGGGCACAATCTGTTTGTACAGGATAAGGAAGTGGCCACTCTCGTGGAGAACTTGTTCAGCGTGAGTGTCGACTTTTCTTCTTCTTTTTAATCCGGTTGAAAGTGAAACTAATCGAGCGGCCCAAGTGTCGCCAAGCTGAGCTATGTCTCTCTCCCTTCCTCTCTCTCTCTCTTTCTCTCTCATTTTCTCTCTTCTTCCCGTTCCCTCTCCTTCCCTAACTAGATGAGAAACTACATGCTGTGACCGCGTTGCTCGTTTCCTTCCAGAAACTCAAGCTGTTGCTGCTGAACGCGAAGGAAAAGGACAGGGATCCTAAGTCGTCGTCATTGATGGCGCATCTGCGCAAGATCGACGAGCATCTGGGCCGCAAGGGCACGCGCTTCCTCACCGGCGACACCATGTGTTGCTTCGATTGCGAGCTGATGCCGCGGCTACAGCATATCAGGGTCGCCGGCAAGTACTTCGCGGACTTCGAGATACCGGAGACCCTGGTACACCTCTGGCGGTACATGCACCACATGTACAGGCTCGACGCTTTCCTGCAGAGCTGCCCAGCTGATCAGGATATTATTAACCACTATAAACTGCAACAGGTGAGACGCGCTCGCGTCCCCTCGCGCGCTTCCTTATAATTGCCGGTCGACATGACTGAATTGAATAATTGCCGCGTTTCTCGACGTCTAACTTACGCCTGCAACTATCTGCCTGTCTCTCTCTTTGTGTCGGTCGCGGTAAACCGGCAATTTTTGTATGTCTTCCGACGTGTATATGATTATAACAAGCTCTCCGTTTTGCAGAGTATGAAGATGAAGAAGCACGAGGAGCTGGAGACGCCGACCTTCACCACGAGTATCCCAATCGAGGTGAACGACGACTAGACACACCGCACGCGCGCGCGCGCGCGTGCGGACTTTCCCTCGAAGTCGAGTCTGCGATCGTGTGACTTCGATTAGACATCGAGATCGGCCGGCCTAGCGAGACGACGACGAATCGACGCTTCAGGAGCGGAGTTTCAACGGCACGCCTTTTTGTAATTTAATATCAGCGATAAATACCAGCAATGAAAACGATCGATCGAGTCCGTTGGGACTTCTGTCTTTCCCAGCTGCCAAGCTCGCGGTCGTCGTCGCGTTCCTGATCGGTTCATATTTTCTACTAATCATTGTTAGATTGTCTGTCATCGAGCCCTCTTCTCTTTCTTCTTCTCTCTCTTTCTCTCTCCTTGTCTTCTATTTCTGCGAGGATTCGAGTCAGATGTGAACGCTTTTTTACCGCAAACGACGCGAAAACGTGTACAAGTGCATTTAAGGCTTTTCGAAAAATCTTACAAACGAAATTCTTAGATTATCTCCTTCTTTTCTTCTCCCACTTCGTTGCTATACTTTTTCCCATTACGTACCGACAGGTGTACGTAGTTTTTGACCTGAGTAGTATTAGTAAGATTTTAATTTGCTACTGTTGATTTAACGAATGAGTTTATTCACGGAAGAAGCGATGGTTTCCGCCATTCCGGCGATATGAGCCGCGGAAACCGACAAACGGTGAATGCAAAAGAAACGTATGCGTCGAACGGAACAACTGAATTGGTGCCATTGCTTATATAATTTTGGGATCTTGTAAAAATGATTCTTTCGCATAGAAGTACTATTTCGCGAGACGTACTATTATCATGTAGGATAAAACGTAGGTAAACCAAATTGGAGTACGAATTGTGAGACGTTGCGTTACTGTTTCCAAGTTGCGAGCATAAAAACGGTTTTCTTGCACTTTAGACTTCTTCTTTTCCATCGTCACCACTCCTTCGTATCACAAGAGTTATATCGTAAGAATCAAGATACTTAAGCATGACTGACTCACTTGCATTAATGAATTTAAAGGTATGGAATTGCAAAAAAACAGGTTTTTCCTTTAATACAACTTTAAGGTTTTACGCGTTATCGTGCGGCTGGTGCATCATTTCCGATATACGTAGAAGGAGAAGCGTCCTTCGTCAAACACGCGATCCAGAGTGCGTACGTTTCTTCTGGATTCCGCAACGTAGTACGAGACATCTTGTTATTCCCGTTTCATTGTTAGCACGTTTGTCTATTGAGTTATAAATGAGGTGAAACGGAAGACAGGCATCATCGCGAGTGATCAATGTTCGGCAACATTTCTTTCTCTCTCTCTCTCTCTCTCTCTCTCTCTCTCTCTCTCTCTC